TTTTTTTTTTTTTTTTTTTTTTTTTTTTTTTTTATTATACCTGACAGGCAAATGACTCCACTCCACCTGATGTTAAGTGGAAAGTGGTATCCAAACGCGAAGGAACCTAGTGCAGCGATGGAATCCTCACTGCACTAGCCGCCTCCACCCTGCCTGCCTACAATATGCCTCTTCACGCCTCGTTTGAAGGACCCCATATCATAAGAGGGAGGGAAGACATGTGCCGGAAGGGAGTTCCATTTGTCAACCGTGCGGCAGAGAAAGGAGCCACCGAACCTTTTAGTACGCGATGGAATGCGGCAGGTAGTGAAACGGTGACTACGAAGGCCAGCACGCGTGCTTCTGAGCAGGAACGGGGACGGGGGGATGAGGTTGAACAGCTCCTCAGAGCACTCACCATGGTACATGCGGTAAAAGGCGCTAAGCGATGCAACATCTCTACGCAGTTGCAGAGGTTCAAGGCGTGATGAGACCTCTTCGTCGCCTATAATTCGAGTTGCACGACGCTGTAATTTATCCAAGGCATCGAGTAGGTACTTGGCGGAGCCGTCCCACAAGTGCGAACAATACTCAACGCAAGACCGGACCTGTGTTTTGTACAGCAGGCATAACTGGTCCGGCGTGAAAAAACGTCGCACCTTGTTCAGGACTCCGAGTTTCCGTGAGGCTGTTTTGATCACAGATTCGATGTAGCTCCTTGGATTCAAATCACAGCAGATTTCCATACCGAGCAAGGTGAAACTGCTCTGAGGTGAAAGTGCTGTGCTCATCAAAGAAGGCATGGGAAGGAACGGCGACAATTTTGTTGTTAACGCGCAAACCTGTGTTTTCTTGGCGTTGAACTCAACAAGATTACTGGATCCCCATGCAGATATGAGGTCCAATATCCTATTGAGCTCAACGACAAGATCAGATCGCTCTCTGTCAGTATCGGCGCGCCCAGCTGCGGGGAATCCATGATATCCCCCATGAACAGTGCTATCATCTGCATAACAATGAATATTCCCAAGTGGAAGCATATCATTGATATGCAGAAGGAAAAGCGTGGGAGATAGGACGGATCCCTGCGGTACGCCGGCGTTCACATTCACGAACCTCGAAATGCTGCCGTCAGAAACGACGCGAATTCTCCGCTCACGAAGGAAATCGGCAATCCAGCTGCATAACTGGGCTGGCAAACCGTACGCCGGGAGCTTGGAGAGAAGGGCTTGAGTTGTGCATGGAAATTAACAATATTGACAATTTTTTTAATGCTGTTCGACTCGGATTCTTGTAAAGATTATTTTATTGTAACGGAAGAAAAAATCGGGACAGCGGGAATGGGTCTAATTGAATAAAATGTTTTTTTACCAACATCTGCACTCCCCATTTTTTCTTCCTTGTCTTCAGATACAATTAAATGATCCTTACAAGAACTAAGTCGTTCAACATTTAAAAAATTTAATATTGTTCATTTTTACAGACAACTCACGCTTGACTAAAAAATCGACTAAGTCAAATTTGTTTTCGCAAAAAGAGACCCAAGGTTCCTCAGACAATTTCCTGTATCTCCTGTGGCCGAAACCATAGAAGATTCCACCATACTGCTACATTTGACAAATCACAATGTATATAGAACCCTCAATAAAAAAGTGAGTAATTTCAAAAAGAAAAATTTTTAGACAATTGACATAAAAAATTAGGTACGCAATAAAAGTAATATATCCATGTAGTCATAATAATACTAAAATAAATGAACAACTAACTTTAGTAACCAATGCCGTTTATTTATCCTGTTAGCGTGAACTCTTTATTCTTTTGCGAAGGCCAGATAAAGAAGCATTTTGTAAAAATGTTACATGCACCCTTTAAACTAACGGCGTCAGATCTATGGTCTGAAATATGAAGTTGAAATGTATCAATTTTTCCGGTTTTAAATCGTGTATATTTGTTTTTTCAAACAAACCGATGTTTCGGGCCTTTTACAGGTTCCAAGGTCACGGTTGACATGGTCAAGGGATCTGTAAAGTGCCCGATACGTCGGTTTGTTTGAAAAAACAAATATACGCGATTTAAATCCGGAAAAATAGTTTCATTTCCTATGTGTAAGAATCGCGAAAACCTAAGAACTCGATATAAAAAGTTGGATTTAATAATATTTAAAGTATATCAATAGGTTTCATCAAATTGAATAAGATCTTTTACAGATTTTAGCGGACAGTTTAGAATCAGTACCAATTCCCACGAATCCATTTGAAGACGAAGATTTGTCGTCCAACACGCAAAACGCCGATGTCGAGAAGTTGAAAGAGTTGCTGGTCGTGGGGCTAGGAAACAAGGGCTCCAGGGTGCTGATGTTGCTGCGGTGCGAGGATGAGCTCATGATCTATCAGGTAAGGGCACGTAGTTCACAATAGGTTGGTCATGTTTTGCGAGTGGAAACTATGAGTTCTGACTTGATTATTAATTGTACCTGTATAAGTAATGCAAATCACGCTTGTTCGGATGTACACAGACCGCGCTGCTACGTTTGTATGGAGTTACACTGTTTAAGTTAAAGTCAAATAATCTTTATTTCATAGGTAAGAAAATTACACTTTAAATTGCCATACTGATTAAACTGTACTGCTCATTTGTAAGGCAGATTCCCCTGAGAAGAATTAGCAAGAAACTCTAAGGATTTCTCTTTGTAAATATACATTTATCATTGCAACATCTTCGAGAATACTTGAAAGAGCTAAACGGGTTCATTACCACGGATTTTTGTCATTTAAGTACGCAGAAGTTGTACCTTTAGTCCAAAGGTTTTGTTTAATAATAGTTTTAAACCTCGTAAATGGCAAATCTTGAATATACATATACATTGCCCCTTAAATGAATTTGAAACTTTATGGAAACGTTTGTCAAGAAGAGCTAGTTTATTTTTATTCCTCGTATTAATGTTATCTGTCACTATTTTTCATAAAAAAGTTACATAGGTAACATTTTCATAAATGTACTGTGACGTTAGTGTAAGAATGTTAATCTCTTTAAATTTATCTCTCAAAGACACCCTGGGGGCCCAGATTGTAAATTGCCCTAATCACACGTTTCTGCAGGACAAAGATTCTATGAATATCGGCCGTTTAGGGGGATTATTAAAATTGAATCCATTCGTAATGGAATATAACTTTTAGGTAGATGGGTTTTTGAAATATATACAGAAATAATGAATGCACTCGAAGGTGTCTAGATGATAAGTGATCGGTAGCTGTCATGAGAGACTTCTCATTACATGATCACGCCTGGAGCCCGTTTCACTCCGCACTATATCCCTCTCGTGTTTGCTCGGATACTATAAGTAGGCGCGTATACAAACACTACTTCTTTTATTATATTACGGTAGAAAGTATTTTTATGATACCATGTGTCGGGATGTACAAGCGTACTGCCACTGCGGGGTACTGTCACTGCAGCCTTATTTTTCAAAACCGAAACGTAGTAATACTGACAGTACTGCTTGGCGGCAGAAATAGGTAAGGTGGCAGTACTTCCCTGAACGAACTTTTTCACGAGCACGCTGCTGATACTTAGTACTTTGTGTATTAAGGGCGGTAAACAAGGTATTACGAATGAGACTATTAGAAGCCCGAAGTCGCAGACTGAGGGCTTTCGGTGTCGGGGTTCGTGATTCCCGTACCGCCCATGAAACATACAATGTTTTTCATCACGCATGCAAGTGGGTAACTTGACTCCAATGCCCCAAATAAAACCCTCGGGCCTTTTCAACTGCAACGAGGCCGTGGCGGCGCGAAGAGCTGACTCGAAGCGGGCTGTTGCAGGCGTACCGCTTCCCGCGCGGCAACCTGAAGCTGCGCTTCTCGCGCGTGGCGGCGGCCTTCCCGTTCGGCTACCGCGCCGCCGCCGCCGTGCCGCACGACTCCTACGAGGCCGCGCTGCTGCGCGACAACGTGCGCCAGCTGCGCTACTTCGGTGGGTCGCCCGGCCCTCCGCACTGGCAATGTTGCGCACAGATGCGGACAGAAACGAGAGCACGTTCAACGTTACAGTTGACAACTCGCTTCACTAGCGATCTGCCACAGATAAGCATTCAAAACTATACTGTACACTTGTTACGTCAACTTGTTACGGAAATTGTGATTTACATCTACTCAACATCATACTGTTATCTACTATTTCAACTTTAGACGTTCAGAGACTCGTACATACATTATTCATTTAATACACATCCATATAAAACATATACTGTGAGAAAAACAAACAAATACTGTGAGAACTAAAAAAAAAAAATGTATGACTACAGTTTGTGCATTTCAGGCTCTGACTCAGTATAAATACTATAGACCTTTCAGAAATAAAAGTTCCAGTTGGGTAATTTAACTTATACTTCTTCTATTACTAACTTTTGTCCCTACTTCTTGTTCTGCAACGGATATTCGCTTCTGATTGGTCAGTAAGTAACGTTTTTGATTGGTCAGCATATGATCACTATAAATCTAGCATCGTTGGCGCTATAAGTTTTCAAAATAACATATGACGGCGCCAAATGTACACTGCTCATAAATTATTTATCACATTATATATATTTATATATTTAGAAAGAATTGAAAGTAACTCTTTAAGTTCAATCTTTGTATTAATAATCATAAAACAACTGGAATTTAAAATAATTAGAATTAAATTCGTTTAACAACAAATTTTACAAAATAACATAATTTTATATAATAATAATATACTTCTCAATGGGCACTTAATGAACACACACAATTTATTGTTTCATATTTAAATTACTCGACTGCGACGACAGTTTACAGTCTCACAAAATCCAGGTAACACACATAGGACCCACGTGTTTTATGTTTTTAAAGTCTGGTTCGTAGTTCGTAAAAATACACTTTGTTTCGACATTCTGTCGTTTGTTCCGACTCGAGTCGAAGTGGAAGTAACGGAAGGGACGCAAACTGCGCAGGCAACGTGGGCGGCTACAACGGCGTGTTCGTGTGCGGGCCCACGCCGTACTTCGTGCTGCTGAGCGCGCGCGGCGAGCTGCGCCTGCACCCGCTGGCGCGCGACCAGGCGCCCGTGGCGTCCTTCGCGTCCTTCAACAACACCAACTGCCCGCAGGGCTTCCTCTTCTTCAACGCCAAGGTGCGCGGCCGCTCTCGGCGAATGCGTCCGTGATCCGCGTGCCTCCGCTTACCGCCTTACCGCCCTCTCCCGCAGTCCGAGCTGCGCATCTGCGCGCTGGCCACGCACCTGTCGTACGACGCGCCGTGGCCCGTGCGCAAGGTGCCCATCCGCATGAGCCCGCACTTCGTCACCTACCACATGGAGTCCAAGACCTACTGCCTGGTCGCCTCCGCCGCGCACCACACCACCACCTACTACAAGTTCAACGGCGAGGACAAGGAGAAGTCCACGGAGAACAAGGGCGACAGGTCGGTTTCGTGACGAGTGATTCAATTGTTTATTTATTTATTTATTTATTTATAAGAACACAAACAGTTACATATTGTTATCACTCGTCGCAGGTTTCTTACCGCAATAGTAGTTTATTTTCCCGATATTTCACTTTTTATCATTCGTATTTCACTATGCAGGTAACTGTGGAATTTTTGACAAATAATAAAAATTGTCATGGACATGAAGTACTCAACATTAAGCCCGAGAATGACCGAATTATCTATGGACGTAATTAAAATTATTTTTGTTTGTGTAGCTTGAAAAGTGTATGATTTGTATCACACTGTATTATTTGAGAGTGGTACGCCAAGTGCTTATACTACAAAACCCATACCTATTTTCGCCGCGATGTGGCAGGTTCCCGTACCCCATGACGGAGCGCTTCTCGGTGCTGCTGTTCTCGCCCGTGTCGTGGGAAATCATCCCCAACACCCGCATCGAGCTGGACGAGTGGGAGCACGTCACGTGCCTGCAGAACGTCGCGCTCTCCTACGAGGGGACCAGGTAAGTCTGACCCGCTGCTTTTCGTCACCGCCGGGGACAATTCTCGCTCTTAACTCGTGGACTGCTATCGTAGACGTTTATATTACCTTTATGTAACTAATTGCTTGTGAAATCGGAAAAAAGTGGGAAAGTTTGTTCTGTAGAACAGATACACGCTGGGTCACAACTTCATCTGATATTTAAGAGGCGATGTTACTGACGACGGTTCGTGTTTGTTTTCACTGTGTAAAAATAATTTTGCTTACGCCACCTCTTATATGCTTGTCAGAGGTAACAATATTTGTTGGTTATCGTTTATTTCAGGTTATCAAGTATAAGACATTAATGATAACAAATTCAGGCAAAGTAATGGACCTTGCTCAGACAAAATTAAGAATAAAGAATAATAACTTTGAGACACAGCTGTAGTTTTGCTAATTTGTGACAATTAGGGCGGTATACTCCGTCCAACTCTTGACATATGCATTCCTTCGAAGTTCCGTAATTATTGACATATCATACAACCATAGACAAATAAATGCAATAATTCTGTACTCTTTTATTTTCTAATTTTAGTGAAGCGACGTGCTCTTTAGCTCCGATATTTATCGAGCCAACAGTATGTAACGAAAATTATTCAAGTTGTTAAATTTTGGTACCTGCCTAATGAATTATAATCAAATGAAATAAATTATTAATAATTATAATAAATTCTTATTGTTTATTATAATGAATCGTCGGATTCTTCTCCATATGAACGAGAATCATCACTTGAATTAATTCTTGAGTTCACAAATTGTCAAACGCAACATCATGATCCCAATCAGACAGTATCTTCTTTTTTGGGCCCAGTCACACTCACGATAAAACTTCTTTATAAATAAAATCGATTGTTATAAAAAATCGAATCGGAAACGCACTAGGACATCACTAATTGATTAGAATTTGAGCTGTCAAAAGTTAAATAAATGGTTGGACGAAATATAGTACATACCGGCTTCTAATTAAGAACCTACAGATTAAAAATTGTGGAAAAATGCAAAGTAAGCGTTTCTTTCTATGATTGTGTTTTAGATCAGGTCTGAGAGGATACATCGCGATAGGCACAAATTACAATTACAGTGAAGATATTACGTCTAGAGGAAGAGTGAGTACCTAATTGTAGTTCCAATTAAAATTACAATACTATAATAGTAAAACTTACTTTATTGCCTACCTAAAAAAAACAAATGTAACTTTGTACCTCCTACTAAGTACATCTTAAAGTTCGATTTTTATAATCGAGTAGATATTATCCGTGTGTGTCCACTTCATTGTAGATATTTTGTAAATGGTTACCCAGATTGTTAAGATGCCAATGCCGATGTTGATGTATTTCGACGATATTCCAGATAATAATCTACGACATTATCGATGTCGTCCCTGAGCCAGGGCAACCTCTGACGAAAAACCGCTTCAAGGAGCTCTACGCCAAGGAGCAGAAGGGTCCCGTGACTGCGCTAACACAAGTGCTGGGATATCTCATTTCTGCTGTTGGACAGAAGGTGCGTATAGTGATTAGAGTCTAGTCCAGAAAGAGTTTCCTTACAGAGATATAGGTAATACGTATGTGAATCAAAGTACTTATACTAAACTCAAACTAGGATAAACCCTGTGACACTTCATGTGACGTTTGTCATAGGGATGAGGTAAAGTCGATAAAGTTTTTTAGTGAATTTTGATTTTTGAAGAAAAGTTCTCTCTTATAATTTTATTTTTCGGACGTGTACTGAACGATGTATATATAGATGTGTGCAGTGTTAAAGCATAAAACACAACTATAATTCAAATGCAATTTCAATTGATACTTTAGTAAATTAGAAAAATATATTATCATATCAACAATTTATAGGTTTCAAAAAAGCAATAACACGGACATGTCAATTCGTTGCATATGTTTGAAATTCATACTTTAAGAATGAATACACACACTATACATTTATTAATGAAATTATCGAAAACTTTTTATCGATACGCCTGATCCCTAGCAAATGCAGTGTAATGAAGTAACCTTTGCACGGTGTCGAAAAAAATATTGAATTGTTGTAAATAAAAAGTTTTTCCGCTCATTTCTTACAAATAAACGTTGATTTGGTGTTATTTTTACATTAATTCAATGTATTTACTTAAACAAAAGCTATTCATTTAAAAGCGAGGCTTATAAAAATAGTTTAAGAAATACGTAAATTAATTCACGAAGTTACAAGGTTATATTGTGTAGATTCACAACTCTGTCAGTGAGCTGAAAATTAAACGATAAATGGTGTCGTGACATGACACTGAAATCACATTAGTTCAGAACTTTATAAAGCTTACATTTATTTAGGAATCGATACAACTCCAAAAGGCTTTGGTTGATTCCGCACAGCAGTGAAAGTGTTGAAACTATCACTTTGGATAAAAATAAATACACTGATGAGTATACGGTATGAAAACACGATTCCCAAAGATTTTTACGATAGAAAAAAAAACAAACTTACCTTGAAATTTTACAAGAAAACAGCTGTATTCAACGGATACTTCACATACCAATGATTTTTTTATGTCAACTCAACTAAATAGAACACGTATAGTATACGACATAATTTTTTTAAATGGCTTTAGTATCGTTCGTAAAAAAATTAACTGTGAAATAAAGCCAGTGTCCCTGTCGCACGAACCGCGCAATACAATCGATTCAGTACGGGTAAAATTTGAATTCAAGCTGAGGTAAGCGAGATAGACCATTTCGTAACGATCTCTCGGCTGGCAGATCTATATCTGGCAGCTGAAGGACAACGACCTGGTGGGCGTGGCCTTCATCGACACGCAGATCTACGTGCACCGCATGCTGGCCGTGAAGAACCTGGTGCTGGTGGCCGATGTGTACAAGTCCATTTCGCTGCTGCGCTACCAGGCTCAGCACCGCACGCTGTCGCTGGTCTCCAGGGACCTGCGCACCGCACAGGTAGCTTTTTTTGTAATTTCAAGTGACGTCAGTCCACAACAGTGCCACTCTAATGAAGTTCCGTACTAGGTAGGCACAGGCCACACCCAGAGGACATAAACACTGTGGAGCCAAGAAAGTTCTTCATTCTTTATAATATAAAAGTAACGGGACTTACTCGCGTAGTATTGTAGTCGGAAGCGGTCCGACTAGTTTCGACCATAATCGATGGTCTTCTTCAGGGGTAAGTCCCGTTACTTTTACATTATAATGTGTGATAACCGTGTTAGTTTTCATATTCATATTCATATTCATGTCTTTATTTGCTTGTCACATGGTTTTACATAAGATCTCATAAAATTAATATTGTACCTTTACAAGTGACACCCTGTAAGGGCCCTGCAAATTGAGAGAGCACTACCAATATTATTAAATTATAAATATTCTTAACTTTTATTATACATTATATAATAATATGCCAACAACTTATTACTTAAATTACTGTTTAAAAAAATTAAAATAACAATTACTACGAGTATCAATAATAACTAATGTATTCAAAGACTAGACAAATTGCACTTATCTTTTATTTAATATTTCATCTATTGTATAGAATGATTTATTTATTAGGTACTATAGTAGGTAGTTTTCCTTCATTCTTTAATGCTGTTGGCCTTGGCTTCGAACTGTAATTAGTGGAGATCACAATAGATTAGTTGTACGCAGCGATGAGGAGCCGCATAGACCCCGAATGAAGCCACCCTAATAATAATAATCTGCAGCGTGTCGCTTCCAGCACAAATGCAGAAGGCGGTCCTGGTGGGGCAGGTATAGTTCGCCGGTTCTTGAATCCGAGTTCCTGATCCCTGACTGCCATTGCCGGGGAATACCTCTCATTAAAAAAAAATCTAAATTAATCTTTTAAGGCTTTGGGAGAGGCGAGACTCTAAAATAGATAATAATAATAATAACAACAGTGCCACTCAGAGCTTTAAATCGTGAAGATCTTAGGGGCATTGCCACTCCGCCCGTCACCCTGAGACGTAATGTGACAAGTCCCATGTGCCTGTAATGCTGGTGAACCAGCACCTATAAACCTTCAAAACCGGACCGTGGTAATGCTCACAGAACCGCTGGGTGGCAGAAGTAGGTAAAGTGGCAGTGCTTCCTTGGATGACACCTTCACAAGGAGCTCTGCTGCTACAACAACTACCGGTGGCTTGCCTTTGGCGGTGCGCGCTCGCGCTGCGAGTTGTGCAATCGGAAATGCGTCGTAAATTGAGCGGGGTTTCGGGTTAGGGAACGAAAACGAACCACCACACAAGTATGTGTTATGGAAGGAACTGTGTGCAATATCGAGTGGTGTATAATTTATGTTGACAAGTGTACAGTTCCGTAGTCCGTAATCTGCGGCGAATATATAAGATCTTTGTCGTTAATTTCTAGAAACTTAGCCGTAATGGTGTACTACATTTGAGTTAAAACCGAGTAAAAAAATTTTTAGTAAGATTATTTACTCGCTGCAGACTCGTAAATTAATAAATTTTCAGAGTGGGATAGTGATATTGCGCTCTCTCTCCCGTTACAAGTAGGGTAGGGTCTTTTCTGTAAGCGCAAAGCTATGCATTTGTTTAATTTTGTTGGAGCTAGACAGAGAGACTTTATCGTATCTTTAATTTCTGTCAAAAAAATTACGCTCAATACTAATTTAGAGAGAGAGCGCAATATCGCAATATCGCTCCGATGATTTATGGCCGGAGTCTGCAGCGAGTAAATCCTATATAGTAAAATTTCAAAAATTAAGAGGCAATTTTTAATGTCTTTTATCACATAAAGCTTATTTCCGAAAAAAACGTACATCGTTAATTATATATTCAAAAAGTGAAATTGGAATGTGAAATGATTATCACTAGTAACAGGTTTCTTACCACGGTATAACTTCTTTTTATTTTCCCGATATTTCGGAACGGTTGCACGCTCCATGGTCACGGGTTGACTGGACGGCGGCAGATGACAGCTTATAGCATAAAGCTCCGACAAGCGTTCCGAAATATCGGGAAAATAAAAAGAAGTTATACCGTGGTAAGAAACCTGTTACTAGTGATAATCATTTAGTGAATAACCACGAAAGTCTTAAAATCTATATGGAATGTGAAAGACCGTCACCCTACGTCTGAACGCAGATCTACACCATGGAGTTCATGGTGGACAACTCCACGCTGGGCTTCCTCGTCAGCGAATCGGATGGCAACTTCGCTCTCTTCATGTATCAACCGCAGGCCAGGGAGAGCTACGGAGGTAACTGTTCTCTCTGATGCTTGTATTTATTCTAACTAAATACTCTCGCGTCTTATCATGTCGGTTTTGTTCCGAATAAAGGCTAGTCATGTTACACCGTGTCGGATCCGGGCACCCGGAATAATAATATGAATGCTTTCGCCGGGCACCTGGAGGGTAGTCAACGTCGGACTATAGTGTAGTGGACAGCGCAAGCGCAAAACGCCTATTAAATCTTTGTGGAGCGTGGCAAATTCTCTTCGGATTCTCGTTTTCTCCAGCCAGGATGTACACATCATCTTCGTTTTCTAGTTTCAATTCGTGTTTCCAATACTTCGTCATCAAGAGCTATTGCGATAGCTGCCAGCTCAAGTTGTGAAAATTGCATTAATCACACAACCTTATCACTCAAAAAAATAACGGAAAATAACAAAAAAATACTGTACTCTACACGGTACTGTGCCGGCCCGGACCCCACACCGTGTAATGTGACGCCTTAACACAATTTGGACCACCATTTTGAAAGTAATAACATCGTAGGACTGCGCGATACACACAGTTCCACAGTTCTCGAACAGCACAGTGCACTCCCATATAGTATTGAAAACACTAACAAAAGACAGATATTGTCTGCCCCAAAATTATATCATGAAAACATGTGTTTATTTCCAGATTTTTTGTGTGACTTAGGCCATTTTTGTACAATAAATTAAACGCCAAATTGGCCATATCATGTTTGTTACAAAAAGGTTAAGGAAATTCTCCATGTATTCCTTCACAATATGTCCTACGATGATACAGAGAATTTATTAATTATCCCAAAATAAATGTTGTCTAATATAAGCGTATAGGTATATGATTTGCATTTTATTGTTTAATAATTTTTTTGTTTACAATTTAATCATCATATATCCATCTGTACAAATTACCTGAAATACAGGGTTCTTCTCGTTCAGGTATAAATGTATTAAAATTTACATTTATTCGCATAATTAGTTTTTAGTTGTTCATTTGTACAATAAGTTATTCAATAAACAGTTTTATTTTATTTCTTTTATATTAGTTTGTTCAACATTTCGCACTGCTATCACAATAGTATTGTAGGTCAAAATATGTGAAATTCAAGATTCTATCATCATTGAACGTAAAATTTGATTCTCTACTTGTCAATAAAACCGTCGTTAGAATTTTGTAAAAAACAAATAAAAGGTATCTACTTACCTCAAAATGAGACACAATTTATGTGAGCCATTACTGGCCGAAATAGTCCTTATTCAAAAATATTAAATTACTTTTCCCTTTTATATTTAAATGTACTTGCGCAAGTGCGAAATTGTTTAGATTTGTGTAATAAATTTTAATGATTTTTCACGGGAAGTGAATAATTTGTTTTTCATCGATTTCGAGAAAATATACTTTTTGAGTTAATACACTATCGCATTAACAGTGCGATTTGTATCAATAATAAAAGAATCAAGCAGTGTGAAACATGTATATATCATTTTGTCGACTACAGGTCAACGTTTGATCCGCAAGTGCGACTACCACCTGGGCCAGCAGGTGCACGCCATGTTCCGCATCAACGCCCGGCGCGTGCCCAACACCAACCACAGGCGTCACGTCACCATGTTCAGTCAGTACACCATGCGGTTATTTCTATCACTCCGTCTACTTTATGTACAACCAACAACACATCAAGCTATACATTTTTTGCGAATATCGGCCAAGTATGAATAGCTCCTGATTGTGGTTTTTCGGAAAAGAACAGATGTCGCGTAGTATCTTCGTTACTATCGTACATCTATAGTCTGTCTTTATTGAAGACGGACTAAAATTATATCTGCAGGGTTGCCAGTTTTCGTAGTATTTTTAATGGTTATGTAGTTGCCGTAGATAATTTTATCGATAGATTGTGAATTACTAATTGCGTCATTGTTTTCTTTATTTTTGTTTTGACAATTAGCCTACTAGTACCGAGATCAATTTTTCTACATTTTAACAAGAATAGCCGAATTTGATTATCTATATTGAATTAAGATGAAAAACCTTGAAACATGTCTCCCCTTTGTATTTTTCATAAACATAGTTCTAAATACAGACTGTGTATGTATGAACTTACAAAAATTGACAATTCAAATGAACTTGTGCTCAGTAATTGGATGAATAATGGGCCGAGGATGGTTCAAATGAAATTAGTTCGGCTATTTATTCCATAAGCGTGACCAATATTCAGCCGATAGAATATTTTACCGAAACCGCGGGCAACACTTTTGCACAGTGAACTGTCATTTTACTCCGTCTCCAAAAAATACGGACTATAGTGGTAACTTATCCGCCTATCCGTAACAGTTGCAGTGCCATTTGAAGCTTTTAATCGCAAAGATCCGAGGGACACTGCCACTGCGCACAAGGAAACGCGAAAAACTCTTAAATCTTAATATCATGTTAAGCTTTAACTGTTTTTCGCGTCTCCTTGTACAGTTGGCGTTTTTAACTTGTACCCCTTTTCATTAGAGTCACAGAATTAACTCACGATGTAATGGTTCACTGTGTTTGTAATGTATTGTAGAACATTTTTACGTTAATAAAGAATTTGAAAATTAATTAATTTCTGTGTCTGTCAACTTGACAAATTCCATGTTCTACAACATTGTTAAGCAAAGAACAAGAATCTACTCCATGTTTGTTTGCGTTCGTCAGTCGGTTAAATTTAGTGGTTAAATTTGAACGGCTAACGAAGAAGAAATGTCTATTTTGCAGCGACTTTGGACGGCGGCGTGGGCTACGTATTGCCGGTGTCAGAGAAGATGTACCGGCGTTTGCTGATGTTGCAGAACGTCATGAACAACTACTGTTGCCACGTCGCGGGGCTGAACCCCAGGGCGCACAGGTGGGTGGTCCCAGTCCGATATATCTTCTCATTGTCTTACCTATTAGATAAAGAAGTAACCTTTAATATGGTCTATGAAAGCCTTTTCTTAAGGCATGGACCAATAAATGAAGTGGACTGTTAAGTTTTAGAAAGGTCAAAATCCCCTCTCACATCTAGACGGCGCTGATCGAGAGATAGCCTGGAAATGGTTTTATTATGTAAATGGTCGTGGTTGTCAATTAATTTCTCTTTAATATGAAATACGTGTCAGTTTTTTCCTTGTAATATTATTCAAACATTGATCATGAGCTAAAATTTTTTTTTTGATTTTTGACAAATTTGGTTATCAACAGATGGCGTTGTGTGTTAAAAACGAATTTAAACATTAACGCCTGCTAATCCTAAACAAAATAAAAGAATAGCAGCGTGTGCCTTTGAGTGCCCGCGAGTGTAAGGCACTTAAAGACTCTCAAAGGTCCTCGCGGGCACTCGCACGCACGCCTTGTTACATTACCTACGTCCTACGGCGTAGGCCTCGTTCGTGCCGTCGCTAAACCGCCTCGCCCAACCGCAGGACGTACAAGAGCGGGCGGCGCCTGGCGGGGCTGGGCCCGGCGCGCGGCGTGCTGGACGGGGACCTGGTGGCGCTCTTCACCAGTATGCCCGGCGGCGAGAAGCAGGACGTCAGTGCTCTCCTCTCTCCTTCCTTCCGCTTTGCGTCTTTCATATTCGCTTTTTATTCTCTCGTTTGTTAAAAGCCGCATGTTAAAGCTTTTATCTCAAAAAAGTTAATAAACATATACGAGCTATAGCTGTAAACTTAACGCTTCCTTCGTTATTATAACTCATTATTATAACAATTTTAACATGATCTGCTAAACCTAACATAAGAAGCCTTAAAATATTCCCGAATGCTAATTGAGTCAATAAACTTTCATATAACAATTCCCTAACATTTTTATGATTAATTTGTCTTAAAAAAATGCTATTTACCTATAGTTTAAATTTATCCGTTTCCGTCATTGACTTACAAATAAATGGACGACGGATCTAATACAAAAACCATGAAAAAAATGTCCCAAGTCAACCTATTTAAACGTAGTGACATGTAAAGGAATATGAAAAAGCTAAAACGTTGAATTTAAATTGTAATGTCATCATAGTACTGTCTAATTTTGCTTGCTTCGCTATCAGTCGAACAAACGAAGACTAAAGCGTGAATGACGCTCTGTATACGATTTTAACGCCCTATAAGTCCCTTCCTAAAAAATACGTAAACTCTTATTAGTAATGCAGAAGACAAAACTTCAAATAGTCAAAATTAAGCAAACTAAGATTATAAATGCGAAAGCAACTCGGTTACGGTTTTATGCCTCACATCACTGGTGTGATTTGAAACCAATATGGAAATTACCGGTAATTAAATAGGCGCTTTGACGTCGAGTTGCGGACACCAGTCAGTTACACCAAGTAATTAATTTATTTGTACAAGTGTGTCACTCCTAATGATTTTTTCATCTGAAGGAAGAGGTAATTCAAGTTTAAAATCGGAAATTGATGGTGGATAAGATATTTAAATTACTATAAAATAAAATCTTACAATTTTGTGTATTTTCATCTATCATTACCTAATATGTAGCAGCAAGTATTAATAAATAACAGAAACTTAATTATTTTTACATAAATAAAATGTATCAACAGGTATTTTGCTAACTATAATAATTGGCCAGGTAAGTATTACTTCTACATAACTTAATTAGCCTATTTAAATTGCAATTACGCTAGCAGACCGTGAGCAGAGCTAGCCTGAATAATGAGCATTGACATTGAATTTTATTGACATTTAATTGACATTGAAAAAATGTTCTTTTTCTATGGCGTCATTGGTTGCCTTGGTTGAATTTGGCTAGAGTTTTGTGTTTTTTAGCATTAGACAAGGTAATTTAGGGTCTTTTATCAGGCACCATTTCATTCTGTCATTTTGTAACCAAAATAATTAATTAAATACCGTGAAACGAAATTCTCAAACATATTTACTAAATTTATGTAAATATCGCGTTTGTTCTACTCGTCATTCACTCAAGAATGAATGACGAGTTTCTATCTTAACATACTATTCTATATAACATAAATAACCTATTTCTGAAAAAACTTGCACTATGAAACATTTCAAGAAACAGAAATTAAAAACATTAGACGGAAACTTTTTATAAAATAACTACGTAATTATTATCCTATCATTTTTATATGTCATTTGTCATCAATACTCATGATATTTTTTTATTTACTATAAATTATCACTGAAAAAAAAAAGGTTTACGATCACTACTTCTTTGCTTACGTTTTTTCCTTATTTAAAAAAAGTAAATGTAGCTGTTACCGGTGCGTGCCACAGAAGGGCTTTCCATGCACACCAAACTATTGACACAATAAAAATAAGAAGATACCTCTAATACGCAATAAACACCGCCAACTTTCTTTTTTGGCTATTTTCTGTTATTTTTGTAAACAGCCATATGTTTTTACTAATATTATTTTCCACGAATTTTGTAAAAAAAAGAAAATAACTGAACTGGTCCAAAACTCAAATTGGCATAGTGTTCATTGAAGGTATCGATGTATACTTTCAAAAAGTAGTTCATAAACATCGCTGCACATTTTAAGATAAGAAAAAAAGTCTTATCGTCAATTCAGGTTAGGATTATCAAATACCATTTCTTATACATTCACCACAGTGTCGGTAAAAAACTTTATTGACCTAGTTTCGACCGTTAGTCAAGAAGCTGTAACTATAAGAACTTCGTATAAATTCAATGCAAAGCGAAACTACAAATTTGAAAACAAATATTTTCCTTTTCCAGATCGCAAAGAAAATCGGTACCAAGGTGGAAGAGATAATGGCAGATCTCTACGAAATCGACAGACTGACTGCTCATTTCTAGATTTAACTCTTTTAGTAATAGGCTCTAAGGCAAGTCTGTACATATTAAGAATAAACGAGAATTACTTTCGCATGTTGTACTGCTATTTTCTGTCCTGTTTACCCCAATGTGACATGTCTCCTCGTAAATGTTTAAGCCATGACTAGTTACGCTGCCTGGCTCAATGCGGTCGGAAACTTCGCGTCCTTTCGCGGCGACTTCGAGTCTTCTGCACAACCTATAGGGGTGGAAATCCAGCCCGCGTCTGGTCCCCCGATGATGGAAATGGAAGGCGGAATTAAATCGTGCAATTCCCACGCACACCATGTTATCGTCGGGGATAGTTATATTACAGCAATTACGTGTAACTACTTTAGCGTGACTTACAGGAATCTATTGTTGTCAGTCCGTAGTCAACATAATGCTTACTGTGCAAAAATTAAAGAAGTAATAACGTTAAATCTCTCTCTTGTGAAATTTGGCTTGGTGCAGATACGCGCTTTTTACCAATACTACATACGCGGAATTGCACTGTACCCGACGATATATTGAAAGTCAGCATTTCTCCTACTGGACTAGGTACTACCGCTCTCACATAAAGACCCTTGTGACTTTAAAAAGGTATACTGACAAAATTTGCAACATTTCGACTGTAACCGACTAAGTCACGACTTATTGTGTAACTAGTCCAATGTTAAACACTCGACTGTTGACGCTGTAATAAGGCACGCCGCATAAGGTACTTTTTTAGATTTTTTGGGAATAGTTTTTCTTTTATCTATGGTTAACTTGTGTTATTTATCACTAAACGTGGCGTGTCGTGTAAAATTTTTTTATCTATGTTGCGATTATAGTTTCTTCAGTGTGCTTGCATGAGCTCAAGTTTCTAAACTGACGTCACTTCGAACTACCTCTTCGCGTGCGAAAATGACCGTTTGTTCTCTAGCTTAATAGCTTGACGGCCATAAATTGTGTATACTTATGACAGATCAGTGGAGCACCAACAGTACTACAGTACCTTACCTATTTATGACGCCAAGCAGTAATGTCAGCATTGCTGCGTTTTGGTTTTGAAGGGTAACGGTGCTGGTGAAATTACAGGCACAAGGGACTTGTCAACTTACGTCTCAGTGTGACTCGCGCAGTGGCAGTGCCCCGCAGATCTTTATGATTTAAAGCTCTGAGTGGCACTGCAACTGTTATGGACACGCGTGTCGCGTACCACTGGGCGCACGACTTGTTCACCCCGTCACTTGGTTACATAAAAAAACGCCAGTCTGTCGATTGCTCTCGAAAAATTTTACTTTTGAAGAAACGAGTATTAGATGCATCGGTAGTCTAAAGCATTAAATACACAGAAGGCGGGTGCGGGTCGGGTCGGGACAGCAGCGGGTCAATTAATTGTATTTATATAGACGACAACACAACAAACGCGGGCGCGTGCGCCCAGCGTGCTAACAGTCTTATGGGTAACTCAGAATTGGTAGTGGCGAAGCTGCAGAGCCTTGAACACCGCCATAGAGTTGCCAGCTTACCGGTATTTTACAGGATATATCACGGAGAGTGTGCGAAGGAATTGCATAATTTGATTCCACTTTCCCCTTTCTACTAGCTGTAGGCCAGGTTTCGCACACAGCGTTTTGCTTCCACATTTATATGGCGAACACCTATGGTGTGGAATTCCCTGCCTGCAGACTTGTTCCGCGAACGCTATAACTTGCAAGGCGAGAGTGAATAGGCATTATGTAGGTATATATAATAATATAAATGTACACGGAATTAGACCCGCCGCGGTCTTGACCCGACTCGCACCCGGCTCGCGCCCGACTCGCGTCCGCTCTCTGTGTGTTTCACGCTTTAACATCGGCAAATGTGCGCGTGAAAAAGCGCCCTACTGATTTGGCAGTCGCTCTATAGTTCGCTGACAGGTCAGATTGAAGGCAATCGAATAGCCCATCATATTAGATCAATTCGAAAAATCCAATTTTTAACAAAAACAAACAGACCAAGTCGATTACGTGTCCTTACTTATTTACCTGCGTACCTATCAATTGCCTAACTATTAATTATTCTAAATAAAATACTTTTACAGTTGCTTAGATATTTTTTGGAATGCTACATAATGTAAACAAGTTTTAAATAAGTATCTACTCGTACCATATAGTGCGTTCTACTTAGGTTGTATGTCGTACTTGAAAAGTAAGCGTGCCTACAGCTGCGGTACCTATCTGGAAAATAGGAAGGGTACGTACGTGCACCCGGGGCGGCTCTTCTGAGAACCGGATGCAGTCCGTGCAAATGTGCGGGCTTGCTCGCACAAATTATAATGCTGTTCCCGTATAACCAAGAGGTTCATAGGGAGGGTCACTATAAACAAAACTTATGTAGAAAAGAAATGGGAGCTGTCCTTAATACTAGATGCAGTGCCGCTCAGAGCTTTAAATCGCATAAATCTGAGGGGCACTGCCACGGCGCCCGTCGCCCTGAGACATAAGTTGGCAAGTCCCATGTGCCTGTAATTTCACCATTTCGCGATTAAAACACCGTATCTTATTTCTTGTATTTTTTTCTGTACTACATTAGATACTGCGTTATTGTTTAAAGGTAGCGATGCGTACTTTTATAAATTTTGATACTGATTTAGATCCCAACTAAACTATCGGCTAATAGAAAATCTAGAGTCTCTTAGGGAGTCTCTTCTAAAGTCATTATTTAAGAATTGTACATTCACTATAAACTATATGTATACTCTTTACATACCTAATTTAAAAAAAACCGACTTCAAAAGTTCGTGGAATTACACCTATTTGCCAAGTTTTACTGGAATCGGTTACCGGATTCATCCCCTAGTTTGCCACCCTTAGAGGAAGAATATATTTTGTTATAATAATTAATACAAAGATCGAACACTCTGAGAAAATTCCTTCGATCCAGCCGGATTTGAACCGACGTCTTCTAGCATACCCTGACAGACGCTATACCAACTAAGCCACGGAATGAACCAGCGGACCTCACAAATTTTTATATGTGCTTGCGTCGTATCTTTGTATTTGGTTTTTCAATGACTTTTTAGCCAAGCGCCATCTATGAGAAATCTATAATATTTGGTCACCCAGCTAGATACCTTTACAGCTACCAAGCCCGGCAATAGATAGATAAATAACACGTTTAGTCAGTACAAATACAAACAGAAACAAAACATTTACAATCACTTCACAGAGTATAACATAAAAGCACATAGAACATTATATATAGGTATATGATAGATGTCGCTATTCATTGTATTTAAATTTTTTGTTGAATTGATATTCAATTATTTTTATGTGAAAGGAATATATTAAGGAATATATTGTTCAAATTTAAATCTTTCCAACAAAAAAAAATCATCAAAGTCTGAGTAATCACGTAACAAAAAAAAAAATCTATATAATAAAGTCGAATTGTGAACCTCCTCCCTTTTTAAAAGTCGGTTAAAAATGTATTGATAAACAAAAGACAAAAGCCAGAATACAACAGGCTTCCGATCTAATATTAAGACTTTCCTTTAACAACAATAAGGGCCTTATTACGGTGCGTAAAAGAACAGTGTTTTACCAACCATTAGCATTTAGATATATTGATAAATCAGCGTGGAGATAGAGACACTTTGGTTGTAAATGGGCATGAGCCAGCTTAGCTTTGTCTGTTTCTTGAAATTTCGTTTCGTATTTCTTCGATGAGTTAAGTAAATAAGAAAAAAAATTCGCCCATTGTAATCGTCCACTGTATCCGCTAGTCGATTGACTTGAATGTTGGGAGATTGGGGAACATAGAAAGGCAGTAGAGTTGTACTCAGACGTTTGAGGTAACAGCTCTAGCTGGATTGTGACTCCTTAATAAAGACTTGTGATAAGCAGTGGGATATAACCCTTATGGACGACGGCGAGATGTACTACCATTGTGGGTATTAGTAAAAAAACGGGTCACAGAGATATTCACAGAAACTACTTAAACCAGGAACTAATACAGCAGGAAAGACGGACGCACTTGAAAACTACATCTAACTCGAACGAGTGTTAAGGTGGTTTCCACCGGAGCGTGAGGAGACCAGACGAGGCGAGACGAGTATTGAAATTTGTATGGCAAAATTTCAGTTCTCTTCCCGCGCATCATTGGCCTCTCCACCTCGCGCGCTACCCACGAAGCATGAGTGTGGATACCATTCGCATGGCTTGTTCCCGACAACAATGTCGGTATTTTCTCCCGCGCAGTTGGCGTGAACGCGACAAGGATCCACATTCGTGTGCGGCTCGGTTGGCGGAAAGTAAGTGCGGACGGTTGTGTTTCTATTTTTATTGTTGACGATTTGAACGTGCTTAAAATGTCCGTGGATTGGACAACTGAACTAGAACTGATATTTTTAGATTGTTCTAGCATTTCTTTTCAAATATTTTTTTTCTATGAGCATAATTGTCAATCGCCAAAGCACAAAGTAACCGCAGCAGCAACATCCACTTCGGCGTCCATCTTCGTCAATCGCGGGAACTATACTGTGAACCAGGTGCAAACCTCTGCGAGTGTGGAACTCTGGCAGTTCTTGCCGCGATCCATGGATTTTTCAAATGAATTATATCTGTAGGTACAACTTCACATATCTATGGTGTAGTACAACCGTAATAATAACAACTTGTATCGTTGGTTTGGCTCCTACATTGACAATCGTAACCTGGCTTTTGTCTTGCGAGGTTATATGTCTGAGTGGAATGCCGGAAATACCTTGTGGTGTACCCCAGGGGTCAACTTTGGGGCCACTTTTATTCATTATTTTGATAATGGATATTAGTGTTTACGATATTCCAAAAGCTTACTTTTTGCGGATGATATGAAGATACTCAAGGCAATTGGCAATCCAACAGATGTATGTTATCTGCAGCAAGATCTTTTGCGGTTTGAACAATACTGCATTGAGAATAAGTTAGATCTTAATGTATCAAAGTGCTTTTGTATAACATTCACACGTAAGACCAATAAAATAGAATCCAATTATATTCTCCACAATCACAATCTGACTAATGTAAGCAATATTACGGACTTGGGTGTAATACACGAT